CGAGCGATCCTGATTTACGGGCGCAGGGAAATCGGTGGAGGGAAACTTCGAGTCCGTGCGGCCGGAAACCGAGAAATTTTTGCTCGTTCGAACTTTCATCGGCGCGCTTCACAGACGGCTCGCGATAAAAAATGCAGACGCTCCCGGGGATCGGGAAGAGAAGAAGAGCGAGGAGGGGGAGAGGGTAGGTACGAATGGCGGCGAGAGGGGAAATTATTTATTTTCGATCTGACGTCGCGCGCGAAACGGTTAGGAAATTAAAAAGATGCTCGTCGACATCGACTCGTCGCGCGTCGTCTCCGAAAATGCGGGGGATATTAAGTTTTCTTTTAAATCAGAGCGCGCGTCGGTCACACGACGTCGATCAATCGCGGCTCCGAAGTACGCGATACGTAACGAGAAGCGCGGAAATTATACTCGCACTACTACATACGATCGCGAAATACTCACGGTCAATCAACAAATTCGTAATTTGTGGATCAGGTCTGGAGAAAGAATAAAATTATAATCTCTCGCGCAAAAACATTTCGTTTTGTTCTTTTGACGAAAACGGCACGCGCGCACACGTGCGTTTTAAACATCTGTCAAACAACAGTCAGATAGTTGTCATAATGACATCGTCGTTATCATTTCCGTTATTCGTCTAATTGTGTCTCACCTGTTTCCGACAAGCTGACGAGGGAAGATTACGCGACAAATATAATCCCCCCACGAGCGAAGAGTAGCGAGCGGGAGGCGTCGTCTTTCCAAGTGTTAACCGAGTTCCGGCGTGTCGGTATAAATTGCGCGCACAATTAGCCGGTTAACTACCAATTAGCGAAGGAAGCTTGTACCTCACTTCGAGATACGCTTCAGCGAGGCGGCGCCGCCGTTCGCCGCGGTGAGAACAATATTTGTCTTTGATTACCTCGGAAGTGTTTGCCTAACGGGGTAAATAATAGCAATTGCGCGGCGCCGAACGCGTACCATACCGATTACGACCATATCGATTACGGCCTCCTCTCGAAAAGGCACTCACTCGGGGTACTCGTTCGCTCGGCGCGCATTCAGCCGCTAATTACTGAATTACCACTCGAATTAAGCCCCATTACGTATGATTGGCCCACTTATCGACCGCCGAAGAAACCCGTCGCCGCGACGACGCCGGGCCATTACGTTTCCGATTTAATACCGAAGGGATTGGGGTGGGAGGGGGGGAGGGACGGCTTCTTAATTCGCCACCGTGAATTATTGACCGATCGCTATTTCGCATCGAGAAATAACGCATTTGTTTCCAGCTTAAATCCACAATTGTTCGATAAAATTGAACGCTCATTGAACGTTCAAGGTAACGCACATTGCTGGAGATATATATATATTTTTTTAATATACGAGAAGTAAGTTTTTTTTTAAACAACGTGCGGATTTCTCACGACCGCTGTCTATTCTTTATTATGAAAAAATCGAGACGTTTCGAATTGCCTGTTATCGCGCAGGGAGATCGCCAAAGGGTAAGAGCTCCTTTCTCTCTCAATAAATACAGTGCCGGTCTTTTCCGGAAAAGGGTTGGAATCAACCGCGTCGATTTATGACCCCGGCCACTTGCCGCCTTTTACCGCCGCGACAGAAACACACGGCGAGCGAGCGAGCGCGCGAATGAAAGGCGCAATCGCGCGGTGGTCGATAATTTCGGCGGCGAAATTCTCGAAGGCCGGCTCGTAACGACTTTCATCCGGCGCGGCTGAATAACTATGCAAATGCTGCCGTTGGGGGTTAAAGCGGGGTCGAGATCGCCGGTGAGCCCGCACACATCCCCATATAGCCCCGCGGAGTTACGAGGAAACGGGCCCCCATAAAAGCGGCACGCACGACCAAGAGATTGACCTCTCGTATATTCCTTCTTTCTCGCTCCTTTCCGGAAACGCGATGACGTCCCATCGTGAAACGTGTAACGAGATCCTCGGGTAGCGCGCGCGCGTGTGAGGGCTTTGCATTTTCCGCGGATATCAAATTGCCATCTGGACCGCCGCCGCGCACGGGATTCGTCCGACGGAACTTTTCCGCCTTTCTCCGGAAAGGGGGAGAAAGAGAGAGAGAGAGAGAGAGAGAAAGCTCTCGCGACCGCGTTTTAAAGCGCCATTTACCTCGAACGGGATTCGCCCCTTCTCTCGCTGTCTTTCCACCCTTCGTTAATACTTGGCGAACGCTCGGACAATCGCGCTCTTTGAAAGTTACAGTTCCCCTTCGCCGTTTTATGCGACGTACGTATACGTCGGAAAAGTGCTTCCAAAAGTGCTTCTCGATTTTCGCTTCTTTTAGCCGTCTGTGTGCAGATTATATCGATGGCTATCGCAAAATTCAAAGAGATTTTTAACATTAAATAAACACGTCAGATTTGGATCAAAACGCGATCGCTACGGCGAAATTGCGGCGTCGTCGCAAGATGAAATGGCGACGCGGATAATAAAATCAAGAGTGGATTTACGAGACATGACGAGAGATCGAACGCGCAGATACACATCCGCACCAATGAGTGTAGGTGTGTATGTGTGTGTGTAAAATGTGCAGGAGTCTCGGTGCGCCAATAGTGGCTTACGTCTCGCAATTAATCACTGCGTCGTAACGGAACCCGTTGTATATCGAAAATCGTTCCTAGTCGTCCAAGCTGCGCCATCAAATATTTAAGCCGCCACTACTCAGAGCAAACTACGAAGATAATCGTAATGCCGTTTTCCGCTCGCGCAATGACCGAGCGTAGCGCAACGACGTTTTGCAAAGCGAAAGCGATTAGAATTCGCCGCGAAAATTAAAATCGTTTCGACGATTTATTGACGATCTTTTTTGCGCACCGTCACGCACATTTATCGTTAGTGGTTTCCATGAGAGCGTTTACTTCCGAGTTCCTTTTTGTTATTTATATACAGGCAGTCAATGTTGTACACACACATTTTTTGTTATACAAAAAACATTTACTCAACAATAATAAAAAAAACAAATTTGACAATTCTCTTAATAGATACTTGATGAAATTTACTTGTAAAAGATTCTAGAGCAAATAAAAAGAAATATAAAATACATTCCGCATATATTGGCGTTCAGATTATATTTCTTTTTATTTGCTCTAGGATCTTTTACAAGTAAATTTTCTGCCAAATATATGTTTCATCTTAAATAACATTGTAGAAAAATGTTAAATTATTTGAAATATTATACGTACTCGTTTTTGATATTATCGAATAACATTCGAGTATGATACAAACGTACTGAGACATCTATTGCGCTTTATTGGTGGCGTGCGCGTGTCATTCGCGCGCACGCCACCGACGGAACGTACGTACGGCGACGAGTTGAAACGGCGGTCTCTCTCTCAGACCCGTATCACACCGCCGTTAAATTAATAACCGTGGTCTATCCGCGTGTACCGAACCTCCTCCGGAAATATCGCCCTTCGGATCCCGTCCGTTCGCGCGTCTCTCCCGTCACACCCGGACCGTGCGTGCAATTTTGCTGTACCTATATCCCGCATACGGCTCTCGCGTGCACGCGCCAGTCGAATACGTGCGGGTGACGAGCGGAATTCTGAATTCCTGGTGCGCGAGAGACCGAAGCCATCGTCCAAAAGCGAAAGAGAAAAATGGAGAGCGAGCGAAATAAGGGGCGGAGGAGGGTACGCGGTCTGGCAAAAGGGAATCACAATGCCAAAGCGAGCCCGTATCGTCGTCAGACCAGCCGATAACAGTCAATGCGCTAAATGCGTCGAAATCGAATTCTGAGCACCGATTTATTCTCGCGCGCCGGTTCGGCGCTCACTTTCGCGTTTCGCGAAATATTTGTTGTAATATTTGTCCGAATCGAAAATCCGCTTCGCGCCGTGGAGCAGAGCGCGCTAACGAGACAAATTGATAGCGGACGGTGTCGGATTTAAGGACGGTGATTATTTCTCTTAAAAATGTTAGATCATCTCTTTTTATATTTGCGCGCGATATATATATGTTTTTATTATGTGTGAAAATCGCACGTTCAAATCTGCAAATTATTTTGTCGAGAACTAATTTTTGAAAAAAAATATTTTTCCTCGCGCTAAACCATCTTGATTTTCCATTTCGTGAGAGTCAAGTCTGTCAAGCAGCCTCGATAGGTTTGTGCGATAGGTTGATTGTCGACGGCGCGCGATATCGTATTATTTATTTCGGGACCTCGTCAATCTCTCTCTCTCTCTCTCTCTCTCTCTCTCTTTCTCTCTCTCTTCGTGCATTAATTATTTCGAGAATTGTCATCTGTCGCGGCGCAAATGCCGACACGGGTATTTCCGTGCCCGTCAAACATTGGCGCGATGCTTATGTCGGACCCAGCACACGCGGTGTGTGTCGATGGGCCAGGCGTTTTAATTTCGCATCGAACCGCGACCCGTGCAGCGTGCACGCAGCAACGTGTCCCGACGTAATTCCACGACGTGTCGTAAAAGTCCGAATGGTTCACGCGAATCGATCTCTCGTTATTCTCGACGGAGTCATTTTATTCCCGGAGTCTGGCTCTCTCGCCGGCGCAAACTTCGACTATAATTAAATCTTCGCATGTTACCCCCTCTGATTGCTTCATTAGCGCATTACTTGTTATTTGTCGTTGCGCCGACGCGCAACAACGATTGCGCCTCTCATAAAAGAGGTCGAAACCGGCGGTGAAAATCGAAGAGGTCGTCCGCTGATGTCGATATCAAAATATAATTTGAGAAGTATCCCAAACAAAATCAGAAATTTATCGTTTCCTAAATAAATCAGTTTTATTAAAATCAAAAATAAAAGCATATTTTAAAGGATATGAAAAAATATAGCAAGTATAATTTACATAAGAAAAATATCTAGAGAAAACGCGTATGAAAAATATTGTTAAAAATTTATCATTTTGAGGAAAAACGCGGATCTCAATATCTCGTCAATTAATTTTCTACACTCAGATATGAATTTTTGATATTTTCAATAAAATAGCAATCGAAGCTTTTGTTTTGACAATAAATTACATACCGTGTGCGGCGACCAATGGTGAGGCCAGGTCTTGGTCTCGTGACTACTGCCGACCGACGTCGGTTGACTTGCTAAAAAGACGACCCGTCTGTCGGTGCTCCCGGTTCCGGTGCCGCTGGTAGTCAAAAGGGCCGCTCTGGCCCTCGAACCGCCGATGCTTAACGTCGGTGACGTGTCCATTACGCCCTGAAAGCCAGACACATTACAAGGGTGGTCGACTTCCGGAGCAGAACATTCGTCGAATCGTGGCGAACGTCGTAGATGTAGCGAAACACTCTTTTCGCAATATTGTGTACGAAACAATTGGATAAAAAAAAAACTCCACATAGCGGATATTTTATACTTTTATAGGAAATGCAATTTGTAGTCTTGAAAAATGTTCTCTTTATACACAGGTAATTGATAACGATAGCAAATTTTCTTATTTATTTAAGCGCAATAATTTTTTTTTTTTTAATTTTTTTTTTATTAAAAATGCGCGCTGCGGCTTGCACGAGGAACACGAGGGTTTTTCTTTATTTCGTCGAGCGGATTTCGACTGCTCGACAGGATAGCGACTTTCAGCAAAATTCAATGAGGGTAATGAAGCCTGTTAGCTGTAGGATGAATGCAGCCGAAGGACGCTGAAAACCTGGCTTTCGTGCCGAATGCACTTTCCGAAGAAGATTCTTATTAATCCAAGCTACACTATCATACACCGCGCGCGTACTTCGGCATTCGTCGACCGTATTAGCAACGATTTCGATTTTTAATATCGCCGTGATTTTTTGGACACGATTTTCTATACGTATTACAATTGAACATCGAGCTATAATCATTATTTTTACAGCACATATAAAACATTTATCTGTAACAATGTAGAAAATATGCGCTGTGGAAATTTAATTGAAAGATGAAATAATGTATCCGCGAGATGTGTAGAGAATTGCAATTTAAATATTTTAATTTCTAATAAATGAGCCTTTGCTCTTCTTTCTCTTTCTCTCTTTTTCTCTCTCTCTCTCTCTCTCTCTCTTTTCTCTTTCTTAACATACACAGAAATTATTTCTATAGAACAAACGTGTATTATGTATTTAACTTCTATACTTGACAATATCACACGTAAAATCATTTTCTCTGTAAAATAAACGAGGAAAAGTAACGAGCAAAAAAGATGTCGAAGAACGGGAGTGAAAATTACATCCCATTACTTAATTTGAGCGAGAGCGTGAGTCCACGTTCCGAGCTAACATTTTCCAGCAACGTTTCCACCGAGCCACTGGTTTCTTAAAAATTTCATTACCCTCTCTCGGAAAACCACCGACGTTCCCTTTTTCTTCTCAATCTCTCTCTCTCTCTTCTATTCCTCTCTTTCTCTCTCTCTCTCTCTTTATCTCTGCCCCGCTTATTTTCGCCACGCTTGCGCGACGTGGCCGCGATTCGCAAGGGGAAGACTCGACGGCGGCGTGCAGCGCGATGATCCAACAATTCCGCTACCATCGCGAATGAAATCGGATGAGCGTAATCGAGCTCGTTAGACCGCTGGGATGAAAAGCTCCGCGAGCTCTCTTCGCGCACGGGAACGTCCGGGATAAAGCCCGCAGGAGAGATGAAGAGAGAGAGAGAGAGAGAGAGAGAGAAAGAGAGAGCGGAGCACACATCGAGGTTGAGAAGAAACGCCAAGTGCCGAGAGCGGTGCGTTTTTCAGCGGGATTTACGGATCGTCGACGGGGCATTAAGAGGAATGATGCGCGACCGCATCCCGCACGCGACGAACGAAAGTATGGCGGGAACAGAACTAACCGAAGCGCAGCAGCGATCGAAATCGGGAATAATCTCGATGAGTTGAACTCTTACGAAATTAAATGTACCCCGTATCAATCTTCGCGGTTTTTCGTTTTTTTGACTTTTTTTTTTTATCTTGGCGAAAAATTCAGCAATTCTCTTTCGACACGTACACCATTAAAAATTTGATTTTGTTGAAATTACGATTGAATATATCGAAAGATAAAAGAAATATGATATTAATATAAAATAGAAAATATTGTATGTTTTGATATAAAATATTGTATATTTCTATTTTTTTCTCGTGATCTATACATTAAAAAAAAAAAAAAAAAATAGTATAAGGAGTTTTGCATGTTCTCGCTGTTGCAGCTCTTCTTAATGTCATTAGAAAAGATTCTGTTTGTACACGTAAGTGTGTGTTGAAACGTAAGCGCGAATATACGGAAGGAAAAAAAATAGATAAGCGCGCAAGAAACGGAGAAGTAAACGAGTGGAAAAAGTGGGACAGGGCAAGAGGAAGATAATCGTGTGATTGATCCTCACCTTTTTTCAATTGAATCCTTCCTCAGGATCGAGTGCGCCGTGAAGCGTGTCGCCGATCCGTGTTAACGATCGGCCGCGGAGAGTCGCTCGAACGAGGGGGACGTGTGTTCTTCGCGATCGACCGCTCTCGTCGGTATTCAGATTTCAGCCGGTCGACGACCGTCCACCCTCGCGTCTCGGAGCACCGGAGGTCCTCCAACCTCAACCAGGTAATCCTTGTGGTCGCGTGCACCTAATCATTATAGCGGAGGGGCGCGGGTGGCGCTGCTAGGTGTCCCTTAAATCGTTCCAGCACGACGTCGGCTCCTCCTCCGCGCAATTACGAGTCATTACGAGCGGGATTCCACCGCGGTAGCACACACGTACATGCGGCTGGCCCCGGGTGTTGGGTTCGTTCGCCAGGTGTTACAAGCCAAAGTGCGTGGCGTTATTTACGATCCGGATCGGAGCGAAGATGAGAGATCGGCGTCAGGTTGTTGTCGGAGTGAGAGAGAAGTAGAGAAAGCTGTGGAGTTAGTTGACTTTACCGTTTAAGCGGAATAATGACAGTAACGAAAGTAACAAGACAGCGGTGCCGCGTCGTTCTCGACGCAGCGATTCGTACAACCCTCCGCCTTGCCTGCGGCGTGACGTGCTGAAGAGAGTGTTGTCAGTCAGCGAAACAGCGTTTTCCGTCTGACAGCCGCGCGAAATCTCGCCACCTTGTGATTTACTATCGCGTGGCTCTATCGCGGCACGAGCTCCTATTTCGCGGTGTTAGTGACTGACAAGCTTCCTCGCCTCCCTGCACTGCCCGGGCATCAGCCTGTCGGAAGACTAATCCTCTCTCTCGGCTGTCAAACGTTTTCAATTACACCCGCGTCATTTCAGCATCGGCCGTGAATTATCTCGCGATCCGAGCGATATCGCGACGACGCTTCCCAACGCGTTTTTCAACCGCGACGCCAATTTCACGAGCGTCGACACGATCAGTCGCCACGACGACGATTCTCGTGACCGCGGGCGAGCCGATCTGCCGATCGATTGTCGAGACGCGATTTTTCGTCGCGAAATCGTCGGCCGTACGGCATGGCCGGGTCGCGACGAGCGGTTTTCTTTATGCGGTTATCTCGATCGGGGGTGCGACGCGATCTATCACCGATCGACAAGTGCGTCGTGGCACGAGCTCGGACACAGTCGTCGCCTCGCCGAGCGCCGCGTACGGAATCGCGCACGACACTGAAACGGCAGGAAGTCTCGCGCTCGAGGCGAACCTCTCTCGCGGATTCGCGGGATCACGTGTGAAATTCTTGCGCATGCACCGACGCCTTCCGTCCTTCCCCGGCCCTCCGTCGCGCCCTCCGTCAATGCGGCCACTCCGTCTCGCTCTCCCTCTCCGGGATGAGCCGCATCTTCTCCGCTGATTCTCTTTTTCTCTCCTCTCACTTCCTCTCTCTCTCTCTTTCTCTTTTGCACACCCCCGCAACTCTTCTCTCCTCGTGCAACTTTCTCCGCCGTCCTTTCACCCCCGCAGCGAACTGTCGCTCTCTCTTCCCTCTTCGTCTTTGGTCGTCATCGTCTCTCTTTCTCTCTCTTTCTCCCTCTCTCTTCACCCTTGTTTCTCCTTGCGCACGGTCTCTTTCCACTTCTTTTCCTTCTTCCGGATGGCTCCTGAATCATGAAGCGACAAGTGTTTGGCGCCGGAGCAGCGCTTTTACGGGAGTTAAAGAAGTATTTCATGAAGTAAGCGCGGGAGTATCTCGACTTACAGCTGTAGAAACGGGGTAGTATCCTTAATTGGTCCTTCTCTGCCGTTCGACGGCGCGATCGATATCGTCGGTAACCTAGGTCAAAAAGAGCAACGTTCTTTCTTCAGAAAGTTGACCCGCGTTCCTCGTCGTTAATCGTTTACGGTATACCGAACGCGGAATGAAACTACGCTTTCTACTACTTTATATGTATATATATATATATATATATATATATATATATATATATATGTATCTTTTCGCTCGTTGGACTTTTCCGTGTTTTTCAAATGATTCCGCGGCACAATGAGACACTTTTTCCTCGCTCGTTTTATACAGAAATGTCTCTCGCGAACTGAAAGACCCTTTCCCTACCCTCTTCCCGCCCCGATATATGTGGCTCAAGACGCGGAAGAAAAATGCGAAACAATTTAGGTGTACAAGATCGGCTTTGCCGATAGTTTCGTTTTGCATTTTTCCACGTCAGTGCTCTCGCATTTCGCGACACGCGAATTAACTCGTGCTTATTTATTTATTTTTCTTTTTTTTTTCTTCTTTCCGATCTGAAAAGGTACCTCCGGAAAAAGCACGTTAATTCAAGGTAAGCTAACCCAGATTCGCGCGATGGAGCGAACTTGGAGCAGTAAAAACCGGGAGAGTCTTTAAACGTTTGACGTGGAGGTAAGCCGCCGCGTGACTCGCCCGCCGCGGAACAATTCCGCGAATGTAACTGACGAGCATTGTGTTTCCGACCCAGTTAATGGTTATTTTAACGCGACTGGGGATCACGCGCGGACTCGCCGGCCGCTGAAATCCATACGCGATCATGCTAAATTGTGCACGCGCGCCGTTGCAGTTCGCGCAAAAGCTTGATATTTTGCTTGTACAACGAAATATTCTGCGGGACCAACATCGGCGCTCGAAAAAGGAATTTCAATAATTATTCACGTAAATATAAAATTTGTATTTACTTTATACGTACATATATAGATATTTAAAATATGAACAAATATTGAACAACTTCTATAAATTTGTATATAATATTTATGCAATTCCATTATTTATATCGTGTAATTATTTACATAATATATAATTGCCTCTCGTTTTCTTTTCTTTCTTCCATCGACGGAAGTGATTTTCTTAAAACTGCTTGAAAGCCAGCCATCGGAATTAAATTGAAAACTGTTCGATTCGTCGCTTTGACAAATGAAACGACTCTAATTGCCGACTGCGACTGCTATCTTGCGTAATACACAGAATCACACTCCGAGACGTGTTGTTGCCAGGATTTTAATGGCCGTTTCCGCGTCTTTTTTTTTTTTTTTTTTTAAATCAGTATGCATGGAAAATTTGACAACGCGTAAAAAAATGCATGGAGTTTATAGTTTTTTGCAATATTGACTTCCGGATGATCTCGAGCCTCTCGTATGTAAAATGAGGTGCGATAAAGAGATTAAAATCGTTTTATTCGGTTCTCGAGCGGGGAGAATCGATTTCACCGGGACAAACTGCTATACTCCCGCGCGCGTTGGAAGAAGAAAAAATCAACATCTTTATTAAATTACACAACATTTTGTTTGACGTTCAACGCGCGTCAAATCAATCTCCGCTAGATAACAACCGTTTCTCCTCGTTTCTGTTATAGTTGTGTCAGTTACACCATTTTATACCTCAGCTTTTCAATTACAGCTCGTCAATTACAAGCCCGCGAGTTACACGAAACACGCGTATATACACGTTGTCTATATACGTGCGCACACCATCCGTCGACCGATTAACTGCAAAACGCAAACGGCGCGCGATTAATCGCGATCCGATGGCGACGTCAAAGCGACGACGAAACGGCTGGGTTGAGGAGTAGGAGGGGGATGGGAAAGGTAGAAGGGAGAGAGAGGGCAGATCGCGACGAAACGCTCCCGTACGCCGCAATCGAGACAATGCAGCGTAGCAGAGCGGCAGCAGGAATTGGAATTGCAAAATGTAGAATCGACCGGCTATATACACTTCCTACCCCCACCCCTTCTCGCGTCCCTTTCTCCCTTTGTCCTTACAGCTCGCACAAGCTCGTCTTTCCGTCTGCATTGCACCTCGGCTTCTGTACCCTCTCTCCCTCTCCCTCCCTGTTCCCCTGGTTCTCTGCCTTTCCTCAATGAACCTCCCCGGGTTTCTATCGGTTCTTTATCTCTGATAAAGAAAGAGGGTGAAGAAGAAAAGAGCGCGCGCGAATGGGAAAAGAGCAGCACGAGCGATTCCTTGGGACCTGACTGTTTCTTCCAAGATTTGTGGTGTCTGCATCCACTCGAGCAAGGGAGAAGGGAGAAATGGCAAGCGGGATACGAGAGAGAGTAGATCCGAGAAGACAGACGTACGGCGCCGGAGAACGGAGGTATTTTGTGTCGATCGCCGGATGTCTCTTCGCCGATTCGGGACGACTCTTCGACGTTTACCGGCGACGATTTCCACGCGTTTAGACACTCGCCCTACCCTCACCCCTCTGAGTTCCTTTCACTCCAATTGTCGATATGATCGTTCCGCGCTCGAGAGGAACGCGACGCATTGCCTTCGAGATTGCCACAGCGTGTTTTTAATCCCGGTTGTTGTTGGTTCTCGTCTCGAATGCATTATTTTTTAATAAGAAAACATTTAGAAATGATTCATGTTACAGAAACGCAATCCAAGTTATATATAAAGAGAGACGAGAGATGATAATCTTCTGAGATGTAAATACGTAAACAGCGTAACCTCGTTTTTTCAATTAATTTTAATTAAGCGCTCTATCATTTAATTGGATTAAAAACTTCAATTTTCTCTAAGGAAGGAGATAGACGACATTTCCAGAGATAAATTCGACATGTATTTTTGAAGAAAATCTCATAAAAATTTTCCCGCGAAGGAAACAGATTTTTATGTAAGTAGAAGATAAATGTCATGTTTTTGTGCGCAAGCGCGCGTCGAAATACGTAAGAAACAGAGATATTTCGCGAGTTGATTTCGCGATTAGAGCAAAGGGACGACTTATGACCGTAAGGGGGACTTTCTCGGGTAGATCGTGGCATTTCGACGCCTCGTAAAACGCGATTTTATTCGCGAACGAGCAAATTGAAACATAAGCCGCTCGTAAGAGGGTTCTCGTCTGCGACACGCCCTTCCGGGTTTCCGCGAACCATCCCCCTTCCCGCCGCTCATTCGTTTTCCCTTACACGTATTCCTATCTGATATTTCACCGCGGCGACTGAAGACGACAAGAACAAGGTTACGCGGGGGCGGGTTATCCATGCCGATGCCATTTCGCGAGAGATGCCGATGTCATTGATGTAAATTTATCTCTCTCTTTCTCTCTTTTTCTATTCCTCTCTCGCCGTGCTTTTTACTATGTGCCTCGCCTACGTTGTGAAAATTTATTTTTTTCTTCCTCTCCTTCCACGCGGCATATATGCAACGGCAGAAGAAAAACTCTCGACTCCTCTTCAAATATTTTGCATTCTTTGTGACGATCGATAGCTTTATCTCGACCGTGCTTTCTTTCATATTACAGTTTGAGCGCCGCGGCATAAATAAAAAAAAAAAAAAAAAAAAAATAATAAAAAAAAATCGCTGGTCGATTTTAAAATACATATGATGACGGTTTAAAACCGATAAAACTCTTTATAGAATGGAGAGACAAGTTCGTGTGTGTGTTTGCCGCGCGAATTTCTAAAATTTTCACCGTGTCGTTTGAGCGTGAAATATAAAGTCGCGCGCGATAAGGAGAGAGTAGCGCGTTTACGACGCGCGGAGAGCCGATGATGACCGGCGACGAACAGGAAGCCAGGAGGAAAATGGGGCGGTTGGAGACGGGAGGAGAAAGGGGACAGGTGAAATTGCGCGCTCCGGCACGTACAAACGACGTTGCTCGTAGAGTCGGGCGAGAAGTCGCCAAATAGCGGGGCACAATTAAGAGAGAGAAACGCCCGCCTCGTGAATTAAAAGCGTCAGCCCGCTAAAAGATCAAGAATTCCCTTGTGTTTCTCGACGTCTTTTTCTTTTTTTTTTTTTTCTTTTTTTTCTTTTTTTTTTTTTTCTTTTTTATCTCGGCCTCCTTGTCCGTTCTCTTCCGAATCTACGAGCCGCGTTCCCCGCGCGGGAAACAAACCTTCGCGCGGCCTTCTACGAGCGAGCGGCGTCGCCGCCACCCTTTCGAACAGTGGCAGCAGTCCGGAAGACTGAAAAGAGAGTCCGCGAAACCGGAATGAGGGTGCCGTTACTGGAGGTGAG